GTGTTATACCCATGAAGAGTGTATTTGTATCTTACTCTCTGAGCTACAGCTCCAAGGGATGGCATAATCCAATCTACCACTTGGTGAGGGCTGCAAAAGCTGTTGGACGACTACAAACTTCTCTTATGAGGCTTCTCTAATACCTTGAAACTTATCGGCGCAGGGGACCAGGGGACCCATCTAGAAAGACCGGCAATGTTAAAACTACTTCTATGTACTTTGCATCTTCCATGACTGTTTCAGAGTAGGGAATACTTTCTGGGCCGAGATTTGTGCGCTCGGGTTTGGTGTAAGGATCGAGAGATCTGTGTGCTCGTGTTTGGTGTAAGGATCGAACCAAACGACGAAGCGAACCATGTGAAACAAAAACTTACTTTCCTGCATTGGATGGTACCGAATGTGGTCGTACCAAGGTAGGTTGACCGAATGGCTAAATAGTAATCACTTGTTTAAGGGTTCTTATATATGCTTTTACTAACTTTATCCCGAACTCGGGTGAACTGGAACATTCCCAAGGAACTGTTTCAAATGATTTTGATTGCTGCTTTCCTGATTCATGTTAGTGAACTATAACCACAGCTTCTCACCTGACCCAAAGCTCGAGCTACGACCTGCTCATTCTTTTGTGCCATACGTACCATGTTAGGATACCTGGACCATTTCCCCTGGATCAAGAGATCATAGGTGGAAGTAAAAAGCTCGGGAACTCAGAAATACTGGTCCACATTTGAATTCCGGACAGAGGTTCATGACTCAATTTCGTTTGGACAACTTCCAGAAATGGGTAAAGAAGACGGGTTCACCAGTTCAAGGCATGGGGCTCCCGAATTCTCTATAATTTGCTCCCGAATTCTCTATAATTTCGATTAAATGTTTGGAGGGAATATGATTAATGTTATGTGGGCCACCGGCTTACTACCTACTGGCCTACTACCTCCCTCGAGCAAAGGTGGTAGTAGCTTAGAAGGATTATTCATCAGAGCTCCAACTTTTCAGTGGTGTATCGCAGGACAATGTGTTGACAACCCCAAAAGGATACGAGGTAAGTTCCTTCAATTTTAATTGAAATGACGATACTCCACTTTAATTCCAGAATGCTCCGATCTGAATGAAAAAATGTGCCGGAAGTACTCTAAAGCAAAGTTACGACACTACTGTAAAGCGACCGATTTCAAGGAAATTTGCTGTCGTTCGTGTGAACAATTGAAGGATCTCTGAATACTCTGAATCGATTTCTCAATAAATTTTATTTTCCCCAATTTTACTTCCATACACGCAATGATATCGTGTATAGTGGAGTCCTACCATACACATGGTCCGTAGATCGAACCCCGCATCAAAAAACGTTCACACCAATCAAGCTCTTCATCCATCTGAGGTCCGTAATTGGTACCAAACCTTTGGGACTGTGGAGGTTCCGTCTATGAGGATACAATGACTTTTATAGTCTCTGGCCACCGCCTACAGGTTACTAACTGTATGGGCTACATACCTGTTCAAAACGCCAGTATGATTTTAAGTGGAATCCAAATGTTGGCCCCCTTCCCAAAACGGGATCGATCAACTCTAGAATACCATGTCCATTATCCTTTGATGATAACAAAAGTAACAATCAAAATGAAGATGATAATAATTTGATTTGGAAAATCTAAACCATAGTGTATAAGTCCATTAGGAAGATTTCACTGCAGTGTCTCGTTTTCTCAAACTGAATGGCTTGCTAAAAAACCTTTGCAAAGCAAAAAAGCAGGGCTGACAGGTGCTTAGTTCTGCAATATAGGGGGCAGACTTATTCATGGTGGCGGTGTTGGCCCACTATTTTGATCGAGCACCCGTTCGCGAAGCGCTAAATATTTCTAATTGGATTATTTGAAGCTACAAAGAGCTTGACGGCGTGGTGGCTGAAGTTTGAGACCGACGCTATCCACCGGCCATATGTATGTATATCAGATATGGGGCCTCGCTCATTAAAAATGCCCTTGATTACAATTATGTATAGTTTCTCACTACGCGCCTTTCCTAGTGGCCAGAACTGTTTACGGACTTATCAGGACTAATTGGGATGGACATGAAATTAATGAAATTTTATTGCTTTCTGAATCTGCACATGGTTTCCTATGCGACTATGGAACTTTTGAGACATTTTTTACTCTGTCGAATAATGGAGAATGAAGTCTTTGGGCGTTGTTCAGTCCCATCTGAGGGATGCGCCCCCGCATTCGACTGCCGTTCAGAATCGTAGCGGGGTAACGGATACATGTGTGGCCTATACAATGACTTGCGGTGGCCAGCCGATGGTCAAGTCAGTGCTTTTATCCTCCCAGACGAGT